CAAGCCTTTTTCAGTTCTATCTTAAAGATATATCCAGAATTGACCCATTTCTTATCCTCTCCACTAATTTCCTCCCCAGTCAAATTACCATCTCTTGCTTGAATCAAGGCAATAACCTCCTAACTAGTCTCCTGATTTCTACCCTTGTCCCAGTACAGTTTGTTCTTTTCGGTTTTTTGAAGCACTAATTTAATATAATTTCAAACTCACAGAAAATTGCAAAAGTAGTAAAATGAATTCCTGTGCATGCTTTACAAAGATTTATCAACAGTTTAGGTTTTGCCCATTTGCTTTATTAATCTTTCTGTTTCTCTTAGTCTAATATTTTCTGAAATATTTGAGAGTAGGTTGCAAACATGATGACCCCTACATCTTTTAGAGTATATTTCCCTAGATAAGGGACATATTCTTACATATCTACAGTTACCAAAATCAGAAAATGTAACATTGCTATATTAATAATACCATTACCAAATCATAGTCTATATTCCAATTTTATCAGTCATTCATTATTAATAATAATGTTCACCTATTATTATGTGACAAACTGTGTGACTGACTGACTTATTAAATGATTGATTTTAGAGATGAGGTCCACTCTGCTGCCCAGCCTGGAGTGCAGTGATACCATCATAGCTCACAATAATCTCAAACTCTTGCACACAAGTGATCCTCTTGCCTCAGCCTCCTGAGTAAATAGGACTACAGGCACACAACACCATATTCAGTTAATATTTTCATTGTTTATTATGTCTCATTTCATGGGGTAGGAATTTATCTCTATATTGTTTAATTTGTTCACTGTTGTATCCTCCACACCCAGAACAGTGCCTAGCATTTGGATGGCATTCAATGACTCAGATGAATGATGGTGTTCAATGACTTGGATGAATGATGAACTATACCTTCCCTGAGGATACAAGGGTCCTCCAAGAATGGTGATAATATGAAACACCAGGATTCACATCTAGTAAAGATGACATCTTCATTTGACAAAAAAAAAAAAAATGGCAAGAAATAATCCTGCAGCAGTGATTCCTAACTGTAAGACTAAGCAGACATGGTCTATTTAATTGTTGTGGCATATTTTACAGGTGTAGGTTTATTCACAATACTATGATTGAGGAGTATTTTTAAATTGCCTAAAAAAGAAAACTGAGCAAAAAGAAGAAAAACAGATCTCCAGTTAAGAAATCACATTAAGCAATTGAGTCATAACAGATAATAAAGTAAAAGGGAAATGACAGGAAACCAAAGTAAACCTAAAGGCAAAACAAACAGACAAACAAACAAAAACCCAGAAATAGTCATATAACCTAATTCCATCTGTAGATTACCAGTAACAAAGATGGTAAGAGCTAAGTTTTTATATTTAAGAATGGTATTTTCCAAGAGGAAAGAGTTGTATGATTCTCTGAGCACTATGAAAGTTTCAGATTATTTATAGGGTGTAGCATGTGATTTCTTCTATGCTCAGTAGTTCTCAGAATGTATTCAGTGGTGCCAAGGTTGTATTGCATGGCTCCAATAGCATAAATCAAATATTGGCAGATTTTTCCAACCCAAAAGAAAAATTTACACAGATGGATAGAATTTTCTCAGTTTTAATTTTAACAATTATTTTTTCTTAAACTTGATTTTATAGCAGAATCTAGCATGATATGGCATATTTTGTAGTACTAAATTATGTTTAGTCATTTTACATCTAATATAGTAATATTTCATACTGTCAGACTAATTGAATTTAAAAACAGGTCTTCCTAGTTATGTGACTTTAGAAAAGTTATACAATTTCTCAGTGCTTTAGTTTTCTCATTTGTAAAATGAAGATTAATAATAATACCAAACTCAGAAAGTTGCTATGAGAATATAATTAGTTAACAAATGGAAAGCAATTGAACAATGTCCTGCACAGACAGGGCATTAATAACTGTTATATGCTATTAGAAGTGTTAGTATTAACATTATTCTATTATTAAAAAGAGATAATAACCTCTATGGGTTCCGTCACTGAAGTAATTCTTTTTTTTTTATAATCAATATATTTTGTTTGTTTGTTTCTTAAATTCCTGTTTATTCTTGGTAATCAATATTTTTTATTATGATATTGTGGGGTACAGTTAAGGGTTAGGTATACAAATACGTTTCGTTCAGGCACCCTTGTTGATAAGAGGTGTTTCCCCATCCCCAGAAAGATATTTACTACCATTAATCCCATCTCCCTCCTCCCCCTCATAGTTTCCCACTACTGTCAGTCATTTTCCTTATAGTATTACATTGGATGTTCAAGGTCCACTATATGAGTGAGAACATGTGATACTTGGATCTTTGTTTCTGTGAGAGGTCACTCAGTATTATAGACTCAGTTCCATTCAGGTTGCTGCAAAATTCATGATTTTGTTCTTTTTTATGGCTGCGTAGTATTCCATCATGTATATGTACCACATTTTTTAAATCCAGTCCTCTTTTGATGGACAGCGTGGTTGGTTCCAGGTTCTTGCGATTGTGAACGATGCTGCGATAAACATACATGTGCAGGTATCTTTTTTATAAAGTGATTTGAGTTCTTCAGGATATATTCCCAGTAGGGAGATTGTGGAGTCATATGGGAGGTTGATATTTAGAGCTTTTAGGAATTGCCACACTGCTTTCCACAGAGCTTGCACTAGTTTACACTCCCACCAACAGTGTAGAAGTATTCCCTTTTCGCCACACACTCTCCAGCAGCTGTTATTTTTTGAGTTGTTGATAATTGCCATTCTGACTGGAGTTAGGTGGTATCTCAGTGTGGTTTTGATTTGCATCACCCTGATGATTAGTGAGGTTGAACATTTCTTCATGTGTCTGTTGGCTGCTCGGATGTCTTCCTTTGTGAAGTGTCTGTTCATATCTTTTGCCCATTTTATAATGGGGTTGTTTGTTTTTTTCTTTTCAGCACGTTTGAGTTCCTTGTAGATCCAAGATGTTAAGCCTTTGTCAGACCTGGAGTTGGCAAATACTTTTTCCCAGTCTGTAGGCTGTCTCCCTGCTCTCTTGATGGTTTCTTTGCCTTTGCAGAAGCTTGTCAGTTTAATAAGGTCCCACTTGTCTATCTTCTCTCTTATGACCTGTGGGTTTCGGGTTTTGTTCAGGAATTAGATGCCAGTTCCGATTTCCATGACGGTATGTCCTTCATTTTCTAAGGTTCTTATGGCTTGAGGTTTTACATTTAGGTCTCTGATCCATTTAGAGTTAATTTTTGTGTATAGGGATAGATAGGGGTCCTGTTTCAATCTTCTGCATGTGGTCAGCCAGTTTTCCCAGCACCATTTACTGACTAGGTTCTCCTCTCCCCAGTGGTAAGTGGTGGAGGCTTTGTCGAAGATGAGTTGGTTGAGAAATTGAGGTTTTGCTTCTGGAATCTCAATTCTATTCCATTGATATATATGCCTGTTCCTATACCAGTACCAAGCTGTTTTGATGATTGTAGGTTTCCAGTAAAGTTTGAAGTCTGGTAATGTGATACCACCTGCTTTGTTTTTTTTGCTGAGGATTGTTCTGGCTAACTTGACATTTGTGTTTCCATATGAATTCCTGTGTTGTTTTCT